ACGGGTTTCAACTCAGATGCCAATTTATGACAGTTTTCTTGTCAGTCGGGTCAAGCATTTCTGAATTATTGCTTTCATGGCTTTTAAACTAAGAAAAACAAAGCCTAGCTGCATGGAACACTTCTTTGCCATCGACCTTGAAGCCATACTTTCCGTTCTTATAGAGACCTTTACCAACCTTCACTGGCGCTGCAGGCGGTTGAGGTGCTCGAAGTGCCGATGGACGCTTCAGGACTAGCGTCGATTCACCGGTCTCCTCACTAGCCGATGGTTTTTTCATGGGACTTGCCTTCACTTTCTCGGATGCCTTCACCGATGAACCTGCCTTCACTGTTGCTTTCACTCCACTCTTTTTCGACTTCGGTTTCGGCTTTGGTTTGGGTGAGGGGGGCTGGAGGAGCAGGCCCCTGACCGGTGGTTTTGTCATCACCTTGATTTCTGGCAGCGCCATCATCTGACAGCTCGTCAACGGGCGACAAAGGCATGTGCTATCGAAACTAGTCTATCATCAAATATACTGAGAACCCTGACCTTGAACCTTGATCAAACACGTTCATGGTTGCAAAAACTGTTGCACAACCTTGCCAGGAGATTCGCTTCGAGCTTGCCAGTGCTTGGAAGCCCAGCCGTGTTTTTTCACCGAGTTTCGAACTTCAAGTTTCGAGCTTCAAGCAGGTCAAAGCGACCAGTTACACATGATCAGAAGATCACATGATCCGAAGTGATCCAAACTTGTGTGCACACCCGAGCATCATTGCTCCTAAAGAAACACCGTATCTTAAGATACACAACATCCAAAAGTGTGAGTGTGTGATTGATTGAAATCTTTTGGAACAACAAGGCATGGCACACCTTCCCCTACAGGTGAGGTCCTACTTCAAGTTCATGGCTTTTCCAGCCGGAATGCTCAAAGAGCACAGCAAGTACATCTTCGGCTTGGTGGGCCGAAGCATTGCCGGAGCGTCGGTGCTCACTTTCACCTCCAAAAACATCAGGAACGCAACTCAAAGCTATTGCATAACAAAGCCAGCAGTACAACAGGAATGGCAGTGTCATTGATGTGGAGTGGCAGTGTCATGATGTGGCACAAAAGGAATGGCCTCCCAAACCATGGAGCAGTGATCAGCCACCGGAATCTGCTGACACCTCTTGGCGAAGATTCCTCCCAGCTCAGGGCTCCTCATGTTCAAGCGGCCAGCGTCCGGTGCCACCTCCTTCGGCTTGAAGGCGTTGACGCTTGCACATGGTACAATGGTGTACCTATACTGCATTGGCCGTTTGCCACCCGAACCATCATCCTGTCGGCTGTGAGAAGATGCACTCCCAACTGAAAGAACTGTACATAAATCTAGACCAATATGTGAGTGTTTTTTAAAAAACCTTTTCAAAAACACCCATGAATGCAAAGGACAACAAGCCTCCATTTTCGCTTCCATGGTGTGGTCCAGCATGACCACCTCCGTGACTCCACGTTCACGAGCCACGTCGCAGACCACCTCTGCAATCGGCAAAATCTTCTTGCTGTCACTCATGGCCACGAGTTGGCGGTCACTGGTGGATTTCCAGAGGATCATCTCATTGGAAGAGAGATCTGGCAGGGCACAGTTGAGAAAATTTAGACCCAATCCACTGCCCAACTTTCATGCGCAGTAATCAGTAAACTGCTTGAAGCAAGGTGGAATTTCCTCTTCATTGATACCGTATTAGATTGCACCTGGGTTGGCATCTACATAGGACCCCAGCCCAAAGCCAAAAAGCTCTCCAGCTTCCACGTCCAAAGTGCGGTCGAGACGGTTGATCAACCAAATTTGATTTGAGGTTGTGATGGCAACCTCAAGGTCGGGCAGCCTGGCCACCTTCGATTTCGCATCCACCCTTAGAGATGAAACAAGGAAGCCATGTCATTAGCCAACTCCTTTCTTGTAAGACCATAGATAGCCATGAATCATGAGCAAGCCTTCTAAGACCATAGATTCAACATGTATTTAGCCATGAATCGTTGAACAGCTCTCGAATGCACCCACATCCATGGTGGTGAGGGCCATGCGCTGTCGAAAGTTCCAAACAGTCTCCCCCGCCCACTGAGGCGAAGCAGCGGTTCTTGCCACTGTTGCAGAGGCCGTCCCACCAGCAGCAGCCGATCCGGTCACCGCGGTTGAACCTAGATTCCATGCTCGGATGGACTGGGAAACAGGGTCTGCCACAATTGTGTCCTTCATCGCTTGGATGGGCGCCGCTTGGGCGGTGTACTTCTCCAGCACCATGAAAGGAATCCTGGGACCAACTCGATTTTATTTAATGTGATGAAATTGTTGCGAACAATGAAATTGCATGGTTCCTTCATATAGCAACAACATGTTTCACTGACATGTAACGAAGGCTCCTGATTTCGCCATCCACCACCGACAAGCATTCCAGTGTGGGCAATGCCTCTGTGAAAGACGTTTGAGGCCTCGCCTTGGGACCAGCCACCGTGGATTTGTCCCACCAATCAGCCATCATCTTGCCCTTCACAGAATTCTCATAGGCAGACAGTTCAGCCGCCGAGTCGGAGTGGTACACTGCCAGGAAGCGAAGATCCAGGTCTGTTGAGGTGGGGTCCTCAGCTGACAATCTTTCCAGCTGCATAGCCCAGGAAGCAAAGCCCCACTCCGCAAACCTCACGATTTCCAAATTTAGAAGAAAAGAACAATCGTTTGACATTGCACATAAAGTTGCGCCATAAAGTGTGTCCCAACCCTGCCTTGTTGGAAGTAAGTCAACAATGAGGACAGGTTGGTTGGGAACAGTGTCCACTCCCTGAAGAATCTCCGAGATGGTGGATTGAGTCGCCGGGATTCCTCTCTGCTGAACCTGATGCGAAAAAATGCAAACAGTATTGAAGTGGTGTGTAAGCGATATCAAAGACTGCGCTTCAATCAACTCCAGTGGAAAGTAAGGACTGCAGGGGTAAACCATGGCCCAACAACATCTAAAATAACTCAAGATAACTCAAGTAAGACACCCTCCAGTGTGGTGCCAGAGCTTGTTCGGGCTCAGGGTTCTGCAAGTCACTGACACGAGTTCTGTCCACTCCGGTTATGGATCCCAACAATGCACGCGATTTGGTGAACGACGAAGCTGTGCTGTTCACCATGGCCCCCCAAGCCTGAGATGTGGAAGTTGGCCGAGACAGCAAAACTTAGATATATAACAATATGCTTGCAATCCATAAGAACAAGGCAACGTGTAACCTATGCAAGACACATGGTTGTGAAAGCTTCCGGCGATCCCCTTGATGCGTTGCAAAGTTGAAGTTCAAACTGATCTCGAAGTAGTCCATGGACCTTTATAGAAAAGCCATAGAAAAAAACACTTATGCCAATCCCCCTCAACACCTATTCCAACCGTCTCGTGCGGTCTTAGGTCTTGCAGTAGATCTATGCGAGGCACCCATGGACTTTGTCCTCCAGGAGCCTCCGGTGCTTGTTGACCAAAGCCTTGTGCCCGGTGTTGTAGGGCTGTGGGAGCAAGATGAAAGCCAAGGTTCGGCAATTCCCCGTTGAGATTGCCTGGCACATCTGAATTGCCTCGTCTATCGCAACGGCACCTGAAAGGGGAACACATGAGGAACCAAGTTTTATCAGTGTTGAAGTCAGTGTTGAAGCCCCATATGCACATTTCACGATTGCATCTCAGCTGCGAGAGGGCCACAAAGTTGCGTCAACGATCAGCAGGGTCAGCCTGGAACGTAGGTGGAGGGGATTTGTGCATCCCATGTTAAACACCCCATTTGTTGCATTTCATGTTCATAGCATCCAAGCAACCCCGAATGTCCCATTTGTTGCTGCATATTCACGATTGGAGCATGCGCCATCGTAATGCTAGCGCAGCTATGCAGAACATGCTTCTCAGTCATTAACTTCTCCACTTCCGATTTGCCCCTGTTGTAGCGGTCACTGATGAACTTGAAGTCGAGGGATCCCTGACATTAATAGTTGTTGCTTTCTCGAATGTTCGAATAGATTCTACAAGTATCAATGAGATATCACTTCATGCCATTTCCCAATACATGATTAGACCAGCCTGCTGCGATGCGTGCAAATCAAACTTGCGTCCCCAACCCTTCAGAAGTTCCAAATCGGACTTCATTTGCAGTTCCGTCTGCTGCCATGTAGTTTGAAGGAGTTGGGCATTCAACCTTATACAACTTCCTCCACAGGCCACAACCCCATGTCTCATTGTTTGACGCCGGTCATCCCTGTGCAGCCAAAGGACTGCGCGGCATGGGCTTGGCTTTGCTTTTCGGCCTGGCAGGCACGGTTCACTGGAAAGACGAGTGTTGGGGCGGTGGAACTTGAGAAACTTCAGAAACTTCAGGGGCCTCAACTCTGTACTTGGCGATGTGGGATGAGAAGATAGAAATCTTCCCGAGATCCACGGGCGGTACCCCATGCTCCAACATTGCGAGGATATCCGCGTCGCCGTGGCGCAATTCGAACCTTGGCATCAAGGGGCGGCAGGGCGACAGGCGTCGACTCAAACAACTTTGGCTTCATCAAGAACATTGTTTCGATGGGTCGCTAATACTCAATTACAAGAACGGTTCGATTGTTTGCTAATAGTCAATCCTAAGAGCGCTTGATGGATGTCTACCAGGGCAGCATCGGCAAATGCCTTTGGAACCATTGATTGGAATTGCTGCAGGCAAGCAATGAAGGCCGCACATACTCTTTGCAGAGGCTCCTTAGGTTGAAAACATTGTCCAGCTAACTTGCGTTGGAAACAGGAACATGAATTGTTGCAGGTAATCACCCCCCAGCTTAGTGCGTCCCAGAATCCAAGTCCTTCAGGTTCCAAGCCTTCCGTGATCTCGCCGCCACTGCGATCCAATCCTTCTCCATCCTGGTCATCATGACCATCAAGACCGGTTCGTTGTTGGTTAGAATTCCCTTCCATGGGGCAAAAATGCCATTGGCGGTGGAGTGGGAGTCGTTCATCAAGCCCGACGCTATTGCTTCATGTGTCACAAAGCGAGGCATCGTATATTTCCTGAGCCCATCATTGCACATAATTGATGATATATTATGATTGATTGCAGCGAAAATGCACATTGTTGCAATGGCGTTCAATGACTGGTCCAGACATATTTATATAGTGTTTCTGACTTTGTCCAGTCACTGCACCAAAGTAGTCAATGTATCCTTTACCACTGGTGGCACCTTCTTCAACAAGTTCACGGCGGCGGCAGATTCTTGTCGGCCGAGGGAATAGGCGGACGCAAATGCAGCAGCTCCCTCACTGGCCTCATCAGAGACGAACCAACCCCTGAATACTGCTCCCACCACACACAAGGTGAGATCATTCAGGCCTCCAGCTGGTTGAGTGCTGTGTTCTGAGCCACCCCTGATCGAAGCTGCACTTCCAGTTGATGGACTATGTTGAAGCAGTTGGGCTTGCGCCGTACACTGCTCGCGAGAGTCACCCCGCGATTGGTCGAGATCACCTGCGCCAAATCTGGGGCCACGGAGTTGGCCCAGACGACGGCAAAGGTCCTTGGAAGCTTCCGAAGGTTTCCGAAGGTAAAATTTGAACCATCCATTGACTGATATGTTGTCTCAGGCACTGTCTGACATCTTCTGGAGTTGCCTGCGAACCCAACGCTAACAGTCTTTTGAACCAATGACTGCAACTGTACCACAATTAACTGTACCCCAATCAGTCTCTTGAAATGCACACTTGATAAATGACGCCTCGCCTCTAGCAAGGCTGGTAATGTGTACATTGCATAGAGGACTCCAAGTGCGCAAGTGGCTCTGTTCCAGCCCTTTACCATGAATATGCTCATGGCTGGAGCCATGCCTGTGGATACTCCGAGCTCAGCGTTGGTGATTTCATTAGTCTCCGTTGCAAGCCATGCTTTTTGAAGGCAGGTGACTGTCAGTTTCTCACATCCTGGGACATTGGCATCAGTTTGTAGTCCATTCAATAAAATAAGCTGGGCCAGTGACAGTTGGATTTCCTCAGATGAAACCAACAATTGAACCGTTCCACTTCATTTCGCTTCATTGGTACCATCTGGGGGTCAGACAGGGTCACTGGTACCTCGAAGCCCGCAGTCACTTCGATGTGGCAGCTGCCACGGCCGCATTTTCCACTCTCTTCCCGGTGAAAGAAGATCAGCCGCCGTAACATAGGTCCTTGCAAACGATAGCTGAGGATGGGCTTCTTAATCTACTACCAGATCTCAGTGCGGGACACAGATTTGGTCGGAGGGAAGGTCTTCTCCATCCAAGTGTAGAATGCCATGGCATTGTCCTGAATTTTTTCATGACTGGTGTTGAATCTATTGAATACTTGCCATATAATCCAAGACTTGTATGAGAGTCTTTTCCCAAAAGTACGTTCTTGAAGAACTATTGAACCCCATTGTCCGCGCGCCTTATCTGCCAGGGATTGTGTGAGCAATGCATCGATAGTCTTGTTGTGCTTGGTCAGGTTATCGTTCCTTCAGGCATCAAGCGTGCCAAGGGAACACAAGATACACATTGTTTCTTTCTGGGATCACCATGTTTTCCAAGGTTCGCCCATGTGTCAAACAATGCCATGTGTGGCAAGACCAACGCATCAGCAGGGACGGTTGGCACATCATGGCCAGCTTTGATCTTCTTGACAGCACCTCCCCCGGTATTGCCTGAGGTCCTCCGCTTGGGCGGCATAGCCTGGCATGTGCGCAGGCCGGTTGGTCACGGTATTCCTCTAGGGCTCTGACTGGTGGGGGTTTGTGAATGGTGATGATTTCACAAAGTCAGCTGCTGTAGCTACAGCCAAGTTCAAGAACGATGTTGACAGCATCATTCTCTCAAGCCTGCCGACCAGGTTGAATTGCGCGCAAATCTGATGCAGGCAATTCCACGGCTGAATCCAATGGTGGGTAACATCGGATTTCTGAACGATGTCGACAGCATCATTCACAAACTCATGGTGTTTCAGGACGAGGCGTTCGGTGAGTAGGTTCCCATTCACAAAACCATTGCACTTAGTTGAGCCCCACCACTGAGTCAGGTGCAAGACCCCTGCACCCTAGCCCAAACCCAAAGCTTCTCTGACAGTGTTTATGGCATCATGCATTGACATGCCAGCACTCCAGAGATGAGCAGCCGCCCTATACAATGCTTGGTTCTGCCTAGCGGTCCTATACAATCGAGCTTCATCTGCGTTGGGTCGCTCTCGTCGCAGTCGAAGTGCGTTTGGGGCCTTGTGTGGTTGACAGCTGACTAATCAAATCCAAGTCGATAAAAGTAGGATTCCAGGGCCCCAGCCGCTTCCAAATCTCTTCCACGATGATGTCCACCACCGGCTCTCGGAGCAGGCATCGGTCTGGGACCGACTGCTGGCAAGGCCCTCAGCGAGTGCTGGCTTCCCGCACCAAAAAGATGGTCGTGAAATGTTCACATACGTTTCGGTTTTGAAATGTTTTGAGCTTTTGGGGCAACCACCAACTCACATCCAAGAGTGGATCTGGCTGCCAAGTGTTGTTGGCAGAGTCTTCGAGGGCCTTCGCGGCTGAGTGCATGTTGAAAGGATCCTGACCTCAAGTGCTTGTGTGTTGAAAGGTTTTCAAACTACATTGAACGACATGATTTGCCACTAGGGTTTTGTCATATTATTGGTCTTGGTCTATCACGTTGTAGCGCAATCGTTGAGGCTCCGACGCATCAAGCTGGCGTACTTCCTGAAGGCCTTGTTGTCTTTGGAGTCAACGTTGATGGGCTTGTCCAAAAAAGACTGACGCATGTTTCTTTCGTAGTTTATCTCTTAGACTCCACTCTAACAAAGTTTGTTCAAAACATTTCAAAACTAGCCTGGTGGCACATCTCCTTTGCATCGAGCAGCCACACAAGCGGGCAAGAAAAGCTTGTCTGGAGTCTGCCAGTGCGCATCCGATTGGAACCTCTTGGTCCTCAACGATCCCATCTTCCATTGAGTTTCAGAACTTTTTACTGCAAACATCAGCTTACAAAGATCCCCTAATGACAAACGAAAAACGAATGGTCTCCTCAGAATCACATCAGCTGGGCTGGGCTCATAGCCAACCTTGTTCCAAAAGCCCTCGTCCAAGGTGTGCCGCTGGATTCCTGGAGGCGGGTACGTGGAAGGCTTGTGTCGGGATTTGTATATGTGTTGATCAACCCTAAAGAAGTTGCAGTCAACATGTAGGCTGAAAGGATGGTCCGGAATCAGCAATACGCAGCAATTGGAACACATGTGGGGCACCAGGCCCTCCCATGCCCGAGAGCTGCAGGAAGTCGAAGGCTTCATGCAGCCAGTTTTTCCTGCCATCTCTGGGAATGTGTTGTTGACAGAAACCGAACATTGTACCTTCCAACACTTGACACGATGTGTCACATATCACACACAGGTGTATGATGTCTGACGCAAATCTCTTCCAATTCGATCAAGGTTCCAATCCCGAAATCGAGATATCATACACACACGCCGCATAGGCTCATGAGGCCTGTGATCCTCACTTGCGAACCACCTCTCCAGGCACCGTTGAAAATCCAATGGAGTCCACAATTCTTGGTGGTCTTGAAGATGAGCTCGTAGCAGGCTAAAAAGAGCATCTATGTCTTCATGTGAGTGGCCGCTGGTCAAGCAGGCCATTTGGGCACGAGCTACCTTGCCAACCGCAACCCACATGGCCAAAAGCCTAAGGACCGAGTTGTTTTTCAATTCCCGGCAGCAGTTGTCCCCCTGGATGTGGAGACAAGCTCCTTCAAGACGAACCTTCTCAGACAGAAGGGTGAGCGCGTGGCTCAACAGTTCGCATGAGCGGCTGGAGTTGCTGCTGACAAAATGGGGGCTTAATCCGAGCAATGCCAGGTGCCCGTGCACCAATAGAGTTGTCGATGTCAGTCGCGGCCTGTTAAAGGCACTGAACTCTTTGCTTTTCATGATCTGGCTTCTTGGCCAGGAATGTTTGGCAGCATCCATGCTGTCCAAGATGCAGCAGATCGTTGAAGGCGAAGCCGCCTGTGCATCCAGGCGACTGGATGCCCTCATCATCCAGTAGCACTGGCGATCCCTGTGCTGCCTTGTTCTGTGTTGCTGCAATAACTGCAACTGCGCTCGGCGTGCAGGACCGCAATGACCAAGGCGTTTAAGGAGTAACTTGTGTCTCAGGCAAATACTGCAGGTTGAGTGATGCTTCGAAAAGCGTATGCGCAGCCGCTCCTTGAAATCTGTCATCCATACCTTATGCGCCGTGCGATCTCATGTGTATAAGAAACATAGCACGAGAGTCGAACGCCACGAACATACGAGAACAACAGTCTAAGTCGGGTAAGGGATTGAAACGCTGAACTCTGTTGGTTCCAAGAAGCACTCGAAAAAAGCTTCCGGCTGATCGCTGTACTTGGGTTTGCTGCACAGCACAACTGGTAGTATTCACTGATTGATCCTGGGGGGGAGATGTCTGATATCCCCACGGAACATGCTCTTCCCATCCAGCCTGTGCTGGGCTTGGCGAGGACGTTTGTTTGAGTTCAGCCCGTCAGGAATCACTTCCGCGGACTCTTCATAGAGCCCATGCAGGAAGTCAAACACCAATTGTCTGGCTGGAGATGGTGGCTGCTTTCCTTTTGGTATGTAGCGGGCATCGTAGGGACAATATTCATCACCATTTCTCACTGATGCCCGCAACTTCTGAAATCGTTCCTTGCCTATTGAAAGCAGTCTGTGAAACGCTTTGTTGCAAACCCGCTGCCCCATGTATGTGAGATGAACTGCTCCCCGGCAGGCCTCGACTGGGTGGCTCTTCAGGATGGTGAAGACCTGGGATGATCCGCCGGGTGGCCATGAGTTTTCTTCACATTCAACCTCACTCGAAAGTGTGTTTCTTCACATTGCTCATGTATGTTTCCAGAAACTGAGCATTGTACATGCTGGTCTTGCTCGAGTTTTGCCATGCTGGAAAAGACCCTTCGATCTTTCACCCAGGCATCGAACAAATGATGGTTTTGATGGAAAGGCTTCAAGCAATCCCCACTCTTGCAAGCACATCGAGAACTGACTAAATGTCTCAACTTCATTGGCTCGACCAGTCGCGCCGCCAGCTTCTTCTTGAAGCCCATTGGTCGTCTTCGGGCATCCCAGGGTTTCTTCACGCTAAAGACGGGTGTGCCACTAGGTTTTTTTCGCAAGGGACTCCTCATCGCTCAACTCATCTATAGGAGGCAATGGCATTCAACCCCACCTTGCCAAGACATTGAACCAACATCACCCTTTTAACCAATCGGAGAAATCGCATCGGAGAAATCGCATTGGCCTTCTCCACTCCGGAATTCAGGTGGATGACAGCCCAGCAACCACCTGACCAGGCACGCGCGGTATGTGTCTTCCATGATCATGTGTGAATCTTACTTAACACATTGCGGGTTCACAGTCTGTTTGGGGTACTCTATATGTTCTTTCACTCTGATTGCACCACAAATGCCTCAGCATCCTCCCAACCACTTCTGAGACCAAGGCTTCTTTTTCTTTCACAAGTCTT